AAGAATACTCGCGACTGGTGTCGTCTTCTACCTGTGCTGGCCTGGGATATGATCAAACCTGTATAATGAATACTCGCTACTGGTGTCGTCTTCTACCAGTACTGTGCTGGCCTGGGATATGATCAAACCTGTATAATGAATACTCGCGACTGGTGTCGTCTTCTACCTGTGCTGGCCTGGGATATGATCAAACCTGTATAATGAATACTCGCTACTGGTGTCGTCTTCTACCAGTACTGTGCTGACCTGGGATATGATCAAACCTTTATAATGAATACTCGCTACTGGTGACGTCTTCTACCAGTACTGTGCTAGCCTGGAATATGATCAAACTTGTATAATGAATACTCGCTACTGGTGACGGCTTCTATCAGTACTGTGCTAGCCTGGAATATGATCAAACTTGTATAATGAATACTCGCTACTGGTGACGTTTTCTACCAGTAATGTGGTGGCCTTGGATATGATCACCTGCATAATTAATATTTGGAAGAAATTCCAAAATAAAACTAGTTTTAAGTTAAATTGTCATGCACATATTATTTCTAACCTGACCTGATCTAATGATGGTTAAACTCAATGAATGTGAATTATCATCACTGAAATGGTTATAAACAGTAGGCTAACGTATAGCAGATTATATATAAGAAAACATATATTTAGTGCTAATAGAGCATGAAGTCTGAAAGTATTGATGAGTCATATTTGATAAGTCTCAAGTTTAGCTTCATTGGATCAGATCGTGTCACATTTACAGTGTGTACAAAACAACTAATATTAATTGTCATTCATTTTAAATTACTTGAGGTATTCGTCGATTGAATAGACATGCTGTGGAAGCAGATTGTATACACATGCCCCTTTTCTATTTCAGACAGAGATCCTTATTGATTATTTTGCATGATGTTAAGTGAAACATGTGGATGGCTTTTTCTGTTAACCTTTGCATTCGTAAATTGTCACATGTTATTGGTGTCGTCTTCTACCAGTACTATGCTGGCCTGGGATATGATCAAACCTTTATAATGAATACTCGCTACTGGTGTCGTCTTCTACCAGTACTGTGAGGTGCGACTTGTTGTAGGTCTATTTCTGGATGGTACTGGTTCCCCAAAGTGATCCATATTCTTTTTTATAATATCATTAAATTCAAGGGATATATACATTTTGGAAATTCTAAATCCCCAAAATGAACACATCTTTATTATCTGCATGTATTAATATTTCTCATCGAAATGGGCTGTTGCATACTTTCTCAAAAGCATTCAATTTCTGATAGCATAATTTTACCTACAAACCGCCATACAATGTCAAAATGTTGTTCTGATTTCTGCTGTACATACCACTGAGACGATATATCAGCTATGATTGTCACATGACTTGTACACTTTCATATTCCAAAATGTTTTAACATGATGTACTCAACCCTCTATAGTCTATTCCAGTATTTAAGATATTTCCAAATGGTATCCTTGATTACATTATATTGTTTCAAAGTTATTCCTAAATTTAAAATAGCTTTGAGCCATATATTACATGTTTGGGATTAGAAAGATCTTTATCTAGTCTGTTTAGAGGTTGTGGTAGATCGATCTGCTGTGAAATTCACGATGATTAGTCTGATGTTAGTTTTCAGTCTTAAGTTTTAATCGTATAGAAATGTTTCTCTTTTTAAAAAAGTAAAAGCATTCCAGTAATGAAATTTGGCTTTCATCAGTTTTCTTATTTGAGTTTTGTTTAGATTAAGGGATAAAAGTTACACAAAACAGTAACCAATAATAAGCTTAGTGGCTCTTTCCAGAGCATTCTTAGTGATAACGTTCTCTTATGTGAACACCTTAGCCAATGTTTCGTAAGCTGTAGTTGTAAATCAGATTTAGACATAGTAATATAGACATCTTGTGAAAAAAAAAATACAATTTGTTTCCCTGTAAAGAGGACCTTTTAACATTAAAGCCTGCTTATTTTGCAGAACTAACTGACAATGTAGAGTTAAATTGTCTTAGCATCAATGATATTGTGTACTAACTAACAGATTACTCAACTAATTTGGGATGTTCTCTAGGTTTTGGGGCCAAAATACTGGCTAAATTCGACTGGATAACGTATCTCTATTACAAATATAGTATGGTCTTACTCTAACTCACATTTTCACATGCTTATAAATTTTACACCCCATGGGTCCTGAATCTCATTTCTTTCACAGGGATGATCGAGATAAAAACATCACATTTAAGAGTTTATTTAGATTGAGTACTTATAGTAGCTTCAGAATTAGTCATATAATATAAAAATGCTTTGGCATCTTCAAGCTCTAGCATACATACACTATAATCTTAGAGTTTAAGAAAGATTCTTTAGTGTTGGATAAACAAGACTGTTTAGTTTAAGAGTTATTATTTAATGTATTTGGTGATTTAATATTTAATGATTATTTGTTTTTCATAACAAAAGTGTTAAAAGTTGATTATTTTAAGCGATAGTTGTGACATATTTCGTTACTTAACTAGGTATGAGCCGTAGGTTGTTTATGCAGTTTAATTGTTATACTAGGCTTTCGTGATATTGTTGACGTCATCTTAATCGAAGCTTATAAGTTTTTTCTCGTTATAATACTGTTGCTACTAGAGGGTAGGGATTTCTAGATTATTCTATTGCATGTTATATATATACGTGCAAATACAAGAAAGCAAGTTAAGTGAGAGATAATTAGATAGATCTAGACTGAGTTTATTGTCAGTTTAGTCGTATTGTGCGTTTTCTAAAGAAATTAGTAAAGAAGTTCAGTAAAGAAAAAGTTAGTTAGTGAAAGAAAATGTGAAGTTAGTCGCGTGTGAGTGGTTAGCCTTAACGTGTCATTTCTATAGTGAGTTTCACAGCTGTATTGTAACAACAGATGTAGGAAAAATAATTTGTCTTGTCAATTGGTTCTAATGTAACTGAACCAACCTGTGTGGACTTTCGACAAAAAAAAAAGAGACAATTATTTAAAGCTCTGAATACAACTTTGGTAACCAACAAAAGCAGTTAGACTGCATGATTGTTAATGAGCGATATTTTATAGTAAGTATCACAGTTCAACAGAGATGAGGAAAATATTTTGTTTTGTCAAAGGGTGTTCTAAAGTAATTGAACCCGTCTGTGTGGACTTTGACAAAAAGGAAACAATTATGTAATGCCCTGAATACAACTGTGGCAACCCACGGGGTAACGTAAGTGAATTTATCGCAGATTGTATAGTAAGAATTTGTTTGTCTGAATTTAAGCACAAAGCTACACAATATGCTATCTGAGTAAATAAAAATAATTCGTCTTGTCATTTGGATTCTAAAGTAATTGAATCAGTCTGTGTGGACTTTTGACAAGAAAATAGAATTATTTAGAGTTTTTATATACAATGGTGATAACCAATAATGTAAATGAATTTTTATATACATCTGACTTGTTTTTAATATATTTTAAAACAAGTGGATTGTGTGTTGTCTATTTATTGTTGACATTTATCGCCAACGAATTACAGACACCTACTGTAAAAGAATCCCAGCCCACATATAAAACCGTGATATTCACTATTAGTCCTCTGTTAGATCTTAGTTAAATTTCTCTGCTACATATTTCTTGAAGGAACGAATATATGTTTATGAATAGTGAAGCACAAAAAGAAATAGACAAATATTTGTTTTTCAGACTTTTTGCCACTTTATTTTCAGGAAAATAACGTTTTCATGAAAAGAGATTTTAACCAATTATGTCTTTAGATATAAAAAAAAACTACATTCGTTACAACACTTCTTACAATTTTATCTTCTAGTGTAAAGTTATGTTAACAGGCACATACTGGCCTTAAATGTCAAATCACTTAACTTAGGTAAGAAATTTCATGATATCCCACTTTTACCTTTTAGTACTCCAGTGTTGTCATTTTATTGTTGCAGATATACATTGAATTTACATGACGATATTCAAAATCATTCTTTCTGAACTAAATATTTATCATGTAGCATAGCTATTTTGTTTTGTAGTCCAAGTGACTGGTATTTTAACTACTGGTCTGAACAAGGGAAATATAAAATCATCAATGATTATCATTTAGTGCTTTACGAGTTAAATGATTTTCTTATTGTTTATTCACTCCAAAATATCTCTAAATAGTCAAACTTGTCTAAAATGAATAGATTATAGTCATTTTAGAATATAAAATATGTTGTGAAAAGCCTGACTTACTTACCTTCAGTCAATTTTCTTATTTTTGTGCAAATTCATTACCTTCTGAAGATTTATAATTAATGTTTAATACTTTTTATTCTTACCACAGATAAAAATGTAAATATATAGTTAAAACAACGCTCAAACTTCACGGGGATATATATATATATATATATTTCAAACTTCTACACTGATAATATCGTAAAATTACAAAACCCCAATACTAAAGTGGTTATTTCAAGTTCAGTTGTGTTATTACTCTGCTCATATATATATATATATATATATATTTCTAACCCTAAATATAACAACAAATCAGCCTTTAAATAATTATATATACTTATAAATTCGCCTTAATTTTTCAGTTTTTAAATGTGTTCATTAGAATTAGAAATTCGTCTCAGTATCACACTTTAGAAATCTAAATATGAGATTTATCAGCTCTTTCAATAAAGATAGATGAAACACTCGGAAATTAATAAATTTCAGGTTCATACCGGCTAATACAGTAAATATTTTCATATTTCAGCATTAAAATCAATAAATCTTATGCAACTATATCTCAGTCATACGACTCCTAATGTTTTTACGTAAAATATACAGTGATAATTATCAAGTTCCAGAGATTCATTTCACGTTGAAGAAAAGTTTCTAAGGTAGTTAGTTATGCAATGTGTTTAAGAACGTGAGTTGCGCTGTAGAATCAGTCAGGTTGATCAGCGTATTTCTATGAAATCTGGTGTGAAAAAGTTTGAAAAGCTTAGGTTTAGAGCGTAAGGAAAATGAGCCTGCTGGTCACTCTAGTCCAAATCCCTCGGCGTTAGAGATTGCTATAGTAAGCTTCTCTTTCAGTATATCCTTACTTTTATAACGAGGTAAAACCAGTTGATTGAAACAGGTGTGAGAAATAGGGAGCCTGCAATAAAACCAAACTTTTCAGCACATTCAACAAAACATTCAATAAATTTGAGTTATTCAATTATCCATGAAGATAATAATATCTGATAAGAACGGAGAGTCGAGATAACTTTTCTTAGATTATACTTAATAGAATATATATGCCTCCGCATCCTCCATTCTCATTTATGACAATGAAACAAAGGGTACGAAATGTAGATATGCGGTTCAACAACGAGGTCATAAGATATCAAATCAGTGGGAATAAAATAAAGTTCAGTCTTAAAGTGTGATACCACACTTGTAACCCGTGATATATATATCGGGATAAAATAGCTTTCAGTCATAAAGTATGCAACCACGCTTGTCACCAGTGATATATATGCGGAGAAAACAAAGTTTAGTCTTAACGCGGTTACCATACTTGTCACAGCTTTCAATTTCAAAGTGTGTTTTGCTATAGATTCTTTCAGGACAAAAACATAATATGTAAAAAAAGTTGCCAAGTTAGAAAATAAGCAAAAATAAATAAAAAGTTGTGATTTCAAAGTCAGATTTTGAATTGTGTAACCGGACTGTGGGTTCGATACACAACAGTAAGCTTTCGCTTATTTTTTAACTTATCCACCTTTTTCAAGTGGTATACGTTTGTTCTGATGTCACATATTGTTATTCTAATTTTAATGTAAACTTAAGCAAAACTTGATGGCCACTGTCTGTTTTCATAGGCTGTCATATGCATGCTTTAGTTTTTTCTGACGCATGGTGTGGGCTGTAGGAGAGCTGAAAATGTTTATTTAATTAAATACAAAACTTAACGACCTTGACTATGAACCTTTTTTTCTGAAAACTTTAACAATGTTGCGCGATTATGGAAACAATTAATCACATTAATAGCGTTTCCATATTTACTTCTAGGAAAAATAAAACATTAGTTGTTCACAAAGAGCTCTTTAACTAGAAGTTATTAACAATTTTAAATTGTAATAACTTTTCTTGGTTTAAGCAAGAGTCCACAGAGGAAATGTTTTTTTGTTGTTCTTCATTGTTTTTTTTTTTCAGGGCTTTAGATATTGTACTTTTCTATTTCTTTTTAAACTTGGCTGATGCTCTTGATGCTCCAAAATTGAATTTCAATACACTGATAATTTGATTGCCATTTTAGTATATGTTTAGCTGTGTAAATGCTCGTATCTTAAACTGTGTAGGGGCTCCTCTCTTACTCCCATCATTACCCGTGTTCCATCTCCTATTTTAACCCGTATACCGTTCTCTCATTGTAATTCGCGTTTTAATTTCCTTCTTAGCCTGTGTGCTTTATTCCAACTCCCATCTCAAATTGTGTTGCAACTCCATTCTTAACCTGTGGTCTGTGCTCCTATCTTAACTTTTGTCCCAACTCCCATTTTAACCTGTATTCTAACTCCCACCTTTACCTGTGGTCTATGCTTCCATCTTAACTTACGTTACAACTCCGATCTTAACCTTGTTTCGACTCTCTTCTTAGCCTGTCCGTCTCTCAGCTTAACCTGTGTACTTGCTCCAATCTTAACCTATGTTCCAACTCTCATCTCTCTTCCATCCTAAACTATGTTTTGTTTTTCATCTTAACTTGTGCTCAACATTCCAATATTAACCTGTGTTCAGTGTGCTCTCATGTTAATCCGTGTTCCATGATCTTGTTCAGACATGTGGCATATCAACAAAACGTTTTAAATTTCAGAGACCTTTAGAAAATCTAAAGACGTTTCAATCGGTCTTTCTTCCACGCAGATAATACTAATGAACACTCAATTGCCATCCTTTAAATCAGTAATTTGTTGTCATGAAAAGTACAATTAGTGGCGCCCCTCCGTGGCCGAGCGGTAAAGTCTGTGGGCTTATAACGAAAAAAACATGAATTTCGATATCTTCGTTGAGCAAAGCACAGGCAGTCCCTTCTGTAGCTTTTTGCTTAAAAACAAACAATTAGTGTTGAAAGACTAACGGGCCAATATTTTGATATGCTTTCATCTATAACTAGGTTTTTTGTGTCTTTAACCTGGTTTTTAACGGGCATTATAAAGATATTAATCAAATTAGCTAATACATATAACTTACATTTCAGTATTGTGGTTTAGGGCCGATATCTTGAAAGACATTTCTCCCATTCCACCGACAGGCACGCGGTCGCTGCCAGTTGTGAAACGTAGGAACTGTTTTTGAAGGTCTTGATTGTAGTCTTTAACAACTTCCCAGAATTCCCTAAATAGTACACAATCAACAGTTTCAGGAAATTGTGAAACCCTTACTTCATCTTTACTTTTTTGTAGCACAATCAACTGCACTGTAAGTCAAGTAGCAATGCTTTAACTAGCGTTGCAGTTCCAAACTACTTTGTAATGTTAGTAACATTGCATTAAAATACCTTCAGAGTCAATAAAATTTAAGTTAGTAAAAACTCTATTTTGGACAGACAAAAAATTTGTACCAACGTCATATTTTTCATAAGAATCATCCGTCGTCCCCTAATGTATGATAAATGAACTGCTGCAGATATCAACAGTCTATAAAAATATCGACTATTGTTTATAGTATTTTACATCATTTATTACAGTCTTGGCCAAAATGTTTGTATACTTTGTAACAAATAAGATCAATATTATTAAGATGGAATACAAATACACTTAGTGCTGTAAAATTGAGAAACGAATGTTATATTAAACTTATTCGTACGTAATTTTTATAATGAAACAGGTTCTATACACACCATGAACGATTGATTAGAGCAGCAAACAATATTATCTGGCACCTGTAGAAATATGTGTAATTCAACATTTCACATATTACAACAAAACCTTACCAATATATAAATAATCACAATATATAACATCAAGTTATTATAAGTAGCGTCTGTAATCTTATATCAGTTCATATTAAACATTCAGCACCTGGATAGTCCTCCTCGTACTCTAATAACCTGCGCAAGACGACATAACATGCTGTCGATTAGATTATTGATGTAATCCACCGTGATTTCATCCCAACTTGTCACTAGATGGCGCTGCAACTCAGGTACAGTAGCTGGTTTAGGGTCGTGGTTAGCAATTTTCCGGCTCAATAGTTTTTCAGCATCTACCAGTAGACTTGCCTGGAACAACGTCAACGTTTCCTGTAGTCCAAGGACTCCCTACTATTCTGGCAATGTCCATTTGCTTAATACCATTTCTGGACAGTCGAACAATTTGACGCCTTATAACTTCTAGCTTGCGATGAGACATGACTCTGCGCCAAGTACAGATAAGTTGTGTGAACAAAGTGTTGATCTTTTTCGAAAAACAATATACCAAAAGCACACCCTTTTATATAAAACAGGTGTGTATGTGTGTTTTGACGAAGACATGCTCAAAACAACTTATACAGACCAGAATAACAATTTGTACATGTTTTCCGATCACACGATACCTTGTGTGTTACTTACTACTCGGGCATTTACTCACTAACTACTCCATGTATGTAGACAATGACATCAGTATGCAAGCATTTTGGCCAAGACTGAAATTACTGTAAACACTAGCATCCAATAAAGTGAAAATACTTTATGATTGGTTCATCTTCTTGGAAACCATCATATTCGGTAACTTTTCGTAGTTCTTCCATGTCTAGAGTTGGAGATCCACACACAAGCATTTCTACTTCTTCTGGCCTAAGCATCTGAAAATAATAAAAAAAAGCTTGTTCACACTGTTAACCAGGTATCCTGATAAAAACCCGTTCTTCCTTTTTTTATTGCTCAGTTTTAGCCATATTCTTCATTATTATTCTGTTCTTTGTTGCTGCACTTCAACACTGTGAGACTATCTCTTTCACTTCTACGGCCACATATATATGCTCCCTTCTAGAGCACTGCTATGAGAAACGTTTGTCAGTTTGAAATTCCAGATAAGTGATGAACTATTGATATATGTGTGTCGGTTTTTATCATTGTGTTTCTAAAAATGAACCTGGGACTGGGAGAATTGTTTATTTATATATATGGAGATGAAAGTTTCTTGACTAATTTTGAAGTTGTGCCTTTTTTTTAAACTTTCCACTAATAACAAAAAAAGAACAATAAATTTACGAAGGTTTCTTGCCGATGTAGCTAAAAAACAACAACAGGCTTCTTACTTTTTAGAAAAGCATTTGTGCTATTAGGATCATCTGAATGATAACTTATTGACCAGTTTAAGATAAGAATGAACTAATACTTGTGGTAGTTCAGCGGTAAGTTTACAGACTCACAATGCTATAATCCGGAGTAAGATTCTCCATGGTGGGCACAGTATATAACTCAACGTGGCTTTGCTCTAAAAACAAACAAGGTTGTTGTAATCGTTTATCAATCGTTGTCATGATTAATTGCATGTATTAGTACCTACAACCCATTACTGATGAGTTACTGTATTTCGATAGTATGTACTGATTATTTTTTAGTTTTTATTATACATATTGGCTGCTAACCTGCTACCGCCTCCAGGGAAGTCCTGAGAATGACTGTATTTTGGGGTAATAGTGGCCTGTATTCGATCTTGGGTCTTACTGGTAGAAAAGCTAGAGTGCTATCCAGTCTCCTATGTCTACCAGTAGATAGGAATAAAGTCACTGTAATTATGGACAAAAAGAGATACACCATCAAGCTCTAAGCTCAAGTTAAAGACGGCCTCTTTATGCTTATCAGGTTTAATCCAATAATTAACTAAATCCTCAATAAATAGTCAAACAATTGAAGGAACATCATAGTACTACCCCACAAATCTCTACGATAACTCAACTCACATCTTTCTATATCAGACATTTTACTTCCACCATGAAGATAAATATCATCATTAAAAAAAAGGCTCACCTCTATGATATTATGAAGATAATGTCCTCAAAACAACCACTCTAACACACACGGTTTGCCTGAGATACGTTAATGTAATGTATCCAAACGTTACAGATAAAATTCCAAACGTCATGTTTGATGAATTTTGCCCAAAGCTACTCGAGGTCTATCTGCACTTAATTTAGAAGTGATACACTAGAAGAAAAGTAGCTAGTCGCTGTAGGTTTGGAAACTACTATGTCTACTCTGCCTAAAGTTCCACTGAAACGACTTTAGTTATTCCAATGCTTGTTTTTCGAATAATATTAAAATTATTATCCATTGTTAAGACTGTTCCCCCTTCATGGACATCAGCTGAAAGTGTATTTTTAAATTATATTGAAAATACTTATGCATTATTAACTAAGAGTTAATTTTGTTTTGGATCAGAAAACTAATCATCATGCTTCTAAAACTAAAATAAAATAAAGGCTTGTTGCTCAACTTCTAATTCTTGTATGTATTGTTTTTCATAACAAAAACATACACATCATCCAACTCTTATTTTTTGTGGTGAAGAATTGTTCTTCAGTGGGTGATTGTAGGATACCACAGCTAAGGAAGATTCAAACAAGAAATTATTATAAACGACGAAGTTAGTTATCTAACTACCCAAAACGAATTTGTTTTATCATTTTAATAAATAACTCACAGAATGACAAAGGTGACACATGCAATCCATAACTGTTCTTAGTTATGATATACATCATAATATTTTGCTTTCTTCCTTTTTATGTATATTTTTCCAGTAAGAAATTATAGCATAAATATCTATATATATATTTATGTTTGTGAAATATGAGGAGAATAAATCGTTAATACTTAAAAACAACATTCAGTTTTCAAATTGTTCTTAATAAGAGAGGATAGTATTTAGAATGGAGCTCGGGAAACAGAAGTCTTCTGCTACAAGAGGGCGTGTTTCTAGATCGCATTGCTAGAAGAGCGGGATGATATCATATGTTTACATCATCAGGGTTATTCATTAATTTTTGAATGGCGAAAGTTGTCTGGCATCAGAGAGCGCGTTGTTATATGATTCCCTCATTATCATTATAGTTGATCACTTCTATATGCTAATATTTGAGCGAGACAGGTATTTCACTATATATAAATTCAAAATAATATATTATAATTTTACTCTGTAATGAATAAAGGATTCAAACATGTCACATATTTTACATTTTCAAATTGTTTATACAATATGTTTTAAGCAGATACCATTTGTATATATTAGTTAAAACACAGGCTTAATGAAACTGAAACAAATATTAACAACATACATTTTATAAAGGCGGATGGTGTTTCTATAGGTGGATAATGTTACTAACACATTTAACGTACAGTAGTAGATGTATATAGTTTTCACTTCTATATTTAATTTCAACGACATCATTTTGCATTTTCTGAGGTTTTATGTGCAAAACACTTATTGCTAATTCATTAGTTTTCATTTCTGTAATTAATATATTGTATATCATCTATTCACCTCCTGAAAAAGATGCTTATTTAAATCTATAAATAATATACAATACTTTAATTCTAATGTTTATCTCTATAAGTTGATTTGATTCACTAAAGTTTAGGTTTAAAAGATCTATGTAAACAACTGTGTTTGACCATTATTATTGTAGAAAATTATAGTCTTACCTTTCTGGAGGAATTTTCACAAATCTTTGTCTAGAGCTTGTTTCTTGTTGGCTTGGAGTTTTACCCATAATGCTGACTAAAACTAATTGCATATAGGCGTTCTTTCCATTTCTATCTGAGGGTAATTAACTTTGAACGTAAATGATAGAAGCAGCCTCAAACAGTGTGGACACTTCAATCCTACTGGATATTTAGTCTGATTCATCAGGACCTTTTACTAAGCTTTTGTATGTCACTGAATATAAAAGTCGGTAAACATAGTTTATTGATTTTTTCGCTTTACGTCAGTGATACAAAACACTAAATGTGTACTTATGAACAGATTTGATGGAACATGTTCAATATGTACATATCAGTTAGTGTACAATTCATGTATACTTTCTATTCAATTAGACTCCATGAACTGATGATCCATGTTTCTAACAAATGTATTTAACCACCTAATACAAGTAAGTCTCCATATAGATATACTATCATCAATGTACAAAGTAAAATCACAAACTTTAAATAAGACTGTTGTCACACATACTGAAACATTTATTCCGAAAACTTCAAGTATTAGATAGGGGGATCATGATCTCAGATCAACTGTTCAGATTTATAGCTAATCACTCACAGTAAACTTGCAAGAAAGATCAAAACATATATTAATGCTGATATTCATTGTAATTATTAGAAGTGAGAAACCTTTTCATCAGTAGAGGTGAGATGTGCAATCATAGCTTTCTCTTTCTCAGGTTGTGATGGTCCTAAAAAGGACCTATAAATTTCAATTATTTAAACAAAGCCATTTTTTTTCAGATAAAAACACTATCCATCTTTGTAAAATGCATGTTGTTAATATTTGTTACAGTCTCGTTAAGTTTGTGATTTAATTAACATATATTAATGTTATCTGCTTAACTCTCTCACTACTGGTACAGTCCCAGGGACCGACCTCGTAACCATTTTGTGCTTGTTATAGTTTTCATGATATAACTTTTAATACAGTAAGCATATCTTCACGAAATTTTGCAGATTATCAGTAAACATTACAAGGCTTTCATAAGCAAAATATCAGATTTTTTTATTACGTTCTAAGATTTTGATAAGTAATATTTTTCTCAAACATTTTTTTTTTCTTTTTGAATCTTGATTATCCAACATGCAAAATAATTTTGATTTTAAGAATAAAAACAGTTTTATGCATCAGAAAATTTTCAAATTTCACATGCAAAATCTTTATAACTTCCAGATAATTGTCAAATGATTTTTTTTTAGAAAAACTATATTTTATCTGTTATTTTCACTATTGTATCTCTATTTGGGTTTGGTTGATTTGACCGACCTCGAAACCACCATATAAATTATGCTTTTTTTGTTCTAGAATGACTACAAATTATATCGCCCCTAGTGGCACAGCGGTCTGTCTAGGGACTTACAACGCTAGAAACCGGATTTCGATACCTGTGGTGAGCAGATCACACATAGCCCACTGTGCAGCTTTGTGCTTAACTTCAAACAAACAACCAAACGAATTATATAACGAAAACACAAATGTTTAGTCTAAATAGCTTAAAGCTCATAATGTTACACGTCTATATATATATATATATATATATATATATTATTATTATTATTTTATTGGTCTTATAGCCATGCCTGACTAGCATTAGAGAAGTTGCAATGATGTAGCGCATGTGCACTAATGTTATCTTGGATACAAAAGTCGCCTGTTCTGGCTGTGTTCTTGTGGACCAGTATTTTGTAAAATACAGTCACATTTCGGTTATAATATATTATATACGTATATACAAATAAGTTCTTAAATTTCAGTTATTTTTCTTAAAACATAGAACAGTAAATAAAGAAGAATAGAAAGCAATTATCTTTTCTAGTTACGAACTTTGTACTCGTTTGCTGCTTGCCATAAGTCTGCTAAGCTTTATCAAAGTTTGCGCGTGGAGGATGTAAAACAAAATAATTTGTTTTAGGTTTTATATATGCATTTTGAAATAACAAAAAAAATCATAAATTACTATGTCAATACCACAGATTTCCACTATAATTTATCAAGCTTAGTAACTAAGCTGTATTTGAACCTAAAAAAATATGATTTTTCGAGCTTACTAATGTCTTACCTTAACAGTTGGAGCCTAGCATGAAAACAAAGAATTTCCCAAGCAAATACTTCGTAGAGGTTGAGAAAACCACTAGGAGGACATTCTAATCTTTTGGTTGGTTATACACACACACCATTGAGTGAAGTAGATGTATGTAAGCAAGTATTTTCAAAAAATGGAAGAAGTGGGCAGTTGATTCAATAAGTATATTAATATCTCCTAAAATAGAAAAGATTGGAGATTCTTATCTTATATTCTAGCTTGTGAATGTGGGTATTCATAAGAAACTATATACTTTGTATTTGGACATCACAAACATCTAATATGAACCAATGCTGCATTCAACATACCATGACACACAAAAATCGATATTTAGAATTTTTTTTAATATTTAGTTTTAAATTAAGAAATTAACTAATGTATAATACTAAAATTTGAATTATAATCTACAATTTGATACTAAACTTGTTGACATGCATATATAAAATAGTTGTTCAATAAAATTTTCAATATGGGTCTACAAACACGATGACATGGCCTTTGACCTGTGACCATAGGAAGACCCATCTCAGTGGGGTTAAAACATATTGTTTTTTTTTATATAGGTGAAAGAATAACCAATTTGAAAATGTAAAATACACGATATGTCCTTTATTGATTATAGAGTATAATTATAATTTACTATTTTGAATTTATGTATGGTAAAATAGCTGTCTTGCTCAAATATGAGCATATAGAAGTGAAAAACTATAATGATAATGAGGGAATCATATAACATAACCATTCTCGTAACAACACGCTCTCTGGTGCCAGACAACTTTCGCCAATCAAAAATAAATTAATAAATAACGCTGATGACTTAATAGTGTGACGTCACTCTTCTTTCCTAGCAACACGCCCCTAGTAACACGACCTCTGATGGCAGACAACTTTCGCCAATCAAAAATAAATTATTAAATAACGCTGATGACTTAATAGTGTGACGTCACTCTTCTTTCCTAGCAACACGCCTAGTAACACGACCTCTGATGGCAGACAACTTCCGTTTCCTAAGTCCCATCCTAACTACTCACGGTGGTCTTATATGCAATACTTGTTTGGCCATTTCATGTTTTCAATAATAGCTAATTCTCACTACAAAGAAATAGCCTGAGATGAACAGAAATGGAAATCAAAAATGTATTTTACTTACAATGAGGGCATTTGATGCACATACACTATGAAAACCAAGGTAGAAAGCTTTGAATGGCTTGTAGATGGCTTTATTCAGAATCAAGTCTTTGTATAGTTGAACGTATTCTAGAAGATGACGTTAATTTATTTTTTAACTAGTTGTGTCTTAGGTATTTGAAGATACATACATTACAACAACTCGTATATAAAACTCTATATTTATATACGTGTAAAATAACCTAACACGAATAATTGATACTTTATTTATTTTTAGTAATCCTGTCTAAAGTTAATAATATGGTCACTTATAATTCTGATTTGTTCAATTTGAAAATAAAACGACAGACAACCAACACTAACAATCTCAGAAGTTGTAGAACATACCCTCTCTATTTTCATTTGTAACAGGAATATTTTCCCCATCCGGTTTAAGTACGTGCGTTTTGACATCTCCAAATTCTGCCACAGATACCTAGCATATGAAGATTATTATGCATTCTTAGAAATTTACTGTAAGAATACTAGAGAAAAAATAAACTGAAATAAATTAAACCATATGTGCTTCAGGCAAAGTTATATTTTCGGGGAGATATCAAGCTTTAGTTAGAATTTTTTTGCCATTTGATGAATTATGTAAAAATATATTTTTATTAAAATATATAAACGCTATAAAAATATTTTTAGCACAGTGTAAGTTAAGAAAAACAAAGCTTATCATGAATAATATTTTCTTACTGATATCTAAAAAAACATTTATATATAATAAATTTTAACATTAAAAAATGCTTAAGTGTTTTATACTTAGATTGAAATTACAAGCTCAAGAGCATATAACAAAGTTACACAAAAACAATTGAAAAAAATGATTCCTTCCTAGATTGGTTTCTTTAAACTAAAAGAAGCGTTTCTAAAAGTTCATAGACTTCTGAACATGGCTATTATCATTTCTGAGCATAAAGTATGCTCAGAGGACACAAGGTGTATTAAGTATTATTTAACCTGCCACCACACAAGGTGTATTAAGTATCATTTAATTTGCCACCACACAGGGTGAATTAAGTATTAGTTAATCTGCCACCACATAAGATGTATTAATTATTAATTAATCTGTTACCACACAGGATGAATTAAGTAATATTTAACTTGCCACTAAACAAGGTGTATTAACTAATATTTAACTTGCTACTACACAGGGTGTATTAAGTTTTATTTAACCTGCCACCACAAGGGCTTATTAAGTGTTATTTATTCTGCCACCGCAAAGTGTGTATTAAGTATTATTTAACCATCATTTGAAGTATCATACATTTTCTCACCACTGTGACGGATTTATTATTATATATGTATTTTAATATCAACGTTTGTTTATATTTAGAAATATGCATAGCTTCTAGTGTTAGATATGTATTGCGAAACTCCCGCCTATTTTCTAAAGTTGCAGAAGATTTTAGAGTGTAAGAATCAACAATATATGTGTGTACGTAAACGCCAGTGTAGCTTTGTATTGTTACGTAATTTGAATTTTCGAGAAACTCTCCACACCTATATAAATATAACCAACGCAACACGCCTAAAAGCAGTATCTATTGTTAGTTTGCTAGAGTCAGTGTGCTATAAACTTCGGAAGCTATAGCTATAATTGTGATTAGTGCTTATTAATCGGAAAATTTCAGACAAGGAGCAAGTTCGAACATTACAAATCATTTAACTTCAGTGGATTCACATCAGACATTAGTATTTTTACAAAAACATTATATAACTTCATCGCGGAAAAGTCGGCGTGTGTGGCTGGTGAATAACGAAGG